CTTTTGATCAAAGCAAGCTACGTTACTATGCATAACTAGAAATTAACCAAATAATTAATATAGATAATTTAATATAATATTCTAACAAGGTGTAGGCAAATATATAAAACAAAAACTTGTATGATTAAAATGCATTGATTTGTTAGTTGGCCGTCCTCGCTGCTAACAATATTTTCGGTCACAAACCCAATAATAACTGATAAGGTTCAACCACCTCAGAAGTTTTAGGATTAGTCTTAAATCCAAATAATAAGCTAGCGATGTAAATTATCAAAATAATTTATAATGTGTAACAAAATATATATATTAAACATTTAAATTAATCTTACTAATGAAACATTCGAAAGTAGAGTATAATTTATTTATAAACATATGAAAACTAGCTGTCGGCTTCTCACATTACCAGCATTTCTCTGTCCAACAGATGAAGAAACAATAGTTTAAGATGTTGAGAAGTGTCTTCCTAGGGATTGCTTATGGATTAGCTCGTTAGTTCAGTTAGTAGAACACTCACCTGGTGTACATGCCCGGAAGTCAACTCCTACTTTTATGAAGACCAAAAACATGAAACTATCACAAGTTTGTGTAAGTTTTGTTGATATGTTATTTTTACTCTTTCCAACAAGATCCAGTGTTCAAGTTTTGTTCACCTTCTGATGGTATACTATTCGAAATTCACAAGTGCAAAACAAAACAAATACTGCCCAACTAATAGCCCCCTTGTGTGCTTAAACAAAATGCCATATCAACACTTCTTTCTTAATTTACCATAATCACCATATACACAGGCTAGCAATTAGACACCTACTCCTGAAAGAATGTCATTTTATTAAGTAAACAATGATTAAACAGAGAGTACACAAATGCCTTTAGTATTAAGTGGATCTGCCTTTTGCAATATTTAAGGCAGAAACACGTTTATATATCTTTCCAAGTTCTGAAACCTGATCCTGCAGAATTGCATTCCACTTCTGGTGAAGAACGTGGATGAGGATAATCTAGATATTGGTTGTTTGTGACATATTTTTTTGAGTTAGTTTCATGGCAATGATATTAAGGCTATCAGCTGCTGTCCTTAACTTTTAACTGCTGACCAGGAATAGCAACTGGCCTGTAACACCCACCATCAGCCCATTATAAATGGACAGTAGGATTCATGTTCACATTAGAAGACCTACACAGCTGAAAGGATAAGCATGTTCAGCACCAGATTTTGATTCTATGGCCCACACATTGCATGTTAAGGACCATATCTAAACCAGGCACTGAAGCTGAATGAGCAGGGGTCCCATCTGGAATAAAAATACTGCTTTGGTACAGACAGATAGAAGTCATTGTTCAAAAATTGTGATGTATCATGCAGCAGTGACCATCCCTTCACATACTGTCTGTCAGCTTTTGCAGCCCAAGCAACACTGTTACAGAAACAAAGCTTTATTTTGGGGTGTGATAAAATCTGTGATGCCCATTGTTGTAAATATAGATATTACTTGGAGAAAAGAGTGGCTTCCATCAAACCACTCTGTAATTGTAGCTCATACTATGAAGATAACTTCTGATGACAGTGTGGCACACTTGCAACTGTTCTGCAACAGTAAAAGCTTTTTGACATGGGTCATTTTCCACACTTCTTCTCACAGTATGAACAGTCTATTCTGTTAGTTTTGGTGTCCAGGGCATGAAAAAACTGCCCTTTTCTGACAAAACAGGAACTATTTTGTCATTCTAATCGCCATAAACAGTGGTATTGCAAGGGACCTGGCAATTCCTCAGACTTTGACTGCCTTCCATATAGAAACTAAGCCAATAAAGAACCAACAACATGCAAAATAAAAATGAATCTCAATAAAAAAAATTAAAAATTTCACAGTTATTCCAAAGTTATATTTCAGTATATGATTAATATATTGGAGACAGCAAAGGGCAGTATTGGTGTGGTACATTGTGAGCTTAAGCAACCACAGGTGATCAAAACCTATTTATTTATTTTGTAGCAGGAAGCTAAGTTTTTTTTCAGAAGGTAAAAAATCTAATACACAGTTTATCCCTATTTATGAAAGAGCCTTTGTCTGCAGACATCTGAATCCAAGATACACCAAATAGATTTTCATACTCTAAGTTGTCTCCTTCATTTTCATTGGTTAATAGTTTGGTTAATTTTGTTTTTCTTGACTTTTTTTTTTCTTTCATTGTTAATATGGACTTTTTTTTGTTTTTTGTAGTGGCTTGACTTCTTTTGGTAGTTATTAACCATATATATCTATGTACATTATTTGATCTGCTTTCACTGATGTGAATTGTACTGTCACTAATAATTAGAATTTTTGAGTAACTGTTGTTGGACACAACATGAACAGCAACAATTCAGATAAAAAGTAATTATGGATAACTTAATGCAGGCCTAAATAAATATTATTTCATGCAAATTTCTGTGTAACACAGTACGCAGTGTGAAGAGCATCAACCCAAAACATTATTTAAATGTGTTTAAACTTATCTATTACTACTTTATCTGAACTGCAATTAGAATTGTTTAACAAGTCTGTATATTGTACTTTACTTCAAGTACAATAACTTACACCATCGTGACTATCTATGTCATAAGCCATATCAACCTTATTTCATTGTAACCTTTCAGATTTCTTTGTTATTTAAAATTGGAGAACTTCTGCTTATCTGATAAAATCTGCAGCATAGAAAATATTTATTGGATATCTTATACTAAAAAGTTTTAGTTCATGCTTCATTAATAATCTTTAAACTGTGTACCTACTCATGACATTGAAAAAAAAACTGTTTTGCCTAATAGCAATTAGATGAACAGTGTTCATAAAGAGTTTTAATCATCACAACTTTACAGAAGTTTTGCCCTGATTCAAGTAATCATGGTGTCAACCTCCAATTTTTAGGGTTGATGACACTAATTCTACAGTATTCTCCATTTCTTGCCGTCTGCACCAACTTTTCTAATCCAAGCTTCTCATCTCCAATCCATTTTCTAATGTCATCAAGCCAAGGGAGTCTCTGACTGCTTCTCACTCTTCTTTCTTAGATTTTACCTATGAGAAACTCTACCAACTATCCCTCAGATCTAAATATACATGCAGATTATCCCTTTGAAAAAAAACTTCTTATATGTGACACAAAAGGTAAACAATTTTAACTTTCTTTGCAGCTAAAACTATTTGCACAAAGTTAAACATAGAAAGAAAACATTTCTCTCTGCAATTTGGTTTATATTGTTCACAGTAGAAGAATTTAATACTAAAAGTCTTTGGATGCTTTCACAGTAGCTTTTCTACATATTGTAGACAGCAATTTTGACAATTCAAACAATGTTTAGTGGAAGTGTTAGTTTTTTTAATAAGTGCACTTCAAAATATTATAGACATTTTGAACATTTTACTGAGATCATATGGATGGTCAGTTAGCTGTTGTATTTACATGGATAACCTTAATAAAACAGTGTTATTCTTACAAATACAAAACACTGCATTGGCAAATAAAACGTTTTTGAGAAGGAGATCTTCAAGTGCAGTGTGTTTATAGATGAAAATGTAACTGGCTGAAACAGAAATTTTATACTGCCATAATATATATGCATCTGTTTATATATTGTAAGATCTTTTTTTAGCTCAGTATCAAGCAGGAAGAATTTTTAGTCTAGTAAAACCATATCATTTTTATGGTTAATACAGAATGGACCTTATTGTCTAAATACCAATTTTATGCATTATTACAACTTTATAACAAATTGATTAGAGATTTATTTTCAGCATTATAATATCCACACAGAAAGCTATGTATATTTTCTAAAGGAAAAAACTACATGAATGTTTTGTACTTACAGAAAAATATTTGAAACAATTTGCCATAAAAAAAATACATGAACATTAGTCTGAATCTATAAGAAAAACTTTATTTTTAGTCATTCTTGTCTACAATGGAAAACGTTAGGAAATAAACCTGCTTACACAGAAATCTTTTATTTTTAATTTGTTTACTAAAAACCTCCAATTGGTCAACATTGTTCTTAGAAAGAAAGCTTTATTTAAAGATGACAGATGGTTCAGAAAAAAAAACAAAAAAAACAAGACTCATTGCGAGTTGAAAGGGATTAATTTCAGAGAATCAAGTATTTCTCAGACATAAACTGAAGGAACATTAATTTTGCTATCACACATGGTATTTCCATTTAAAAAGCTTGTATGTATATAAGAAATGTTTTCTGAAATTACTTTATAGACAAGAATCAAATTAATTGGATTTTATTGATGAAACATTCTCAACATTACATTAACATATCTACTCAAAAACTTTTTTTTTTTCATTTTTGTATTCACAAAAGAAATTTTATTTCAAATGTTCTAAATATCTGAGAGAAACCTAAACTGAATAGAACAATGTCAACAGATAGACATACAGATGGTTAGGCACACAAACAGACTCCCCTTGTCTCCCAGTATAGAGTGAAACGAACAAGAAGCACCAACACACAACAGACACTGGCAGGAGACCTATCCAAGTGGTCCACCCCCCATAATCATGCAAGATGAATAGATTTGTCAAATGGGATTTACTCCCTGATATGCACTACATTCATCACTACTTATATGTCCTCTATGCAAAATAAAATCAAGTATTTGATACAAGCCTTGTGTTTCTTTATACATAATCAAAAATTAATCACAACAATTTTCATATATTCAACTTAATAAGATAAAAAATGTATTGATGAAAAGATGGGATATCTTAGCAGACACTGCAAGTGGGGGTTAGCTGTTGTTTTGGTGGACAACTGACCCAGAAAGATGAATGACCATAGCTGGTAACATGGTGACATTCAGAAGAGCACACATTTTGTCCTTTTTCTCTTTCTAACCTGTAACAGTTATCATACAGTTCAGTAACAGCTCATATAATGTAAAACACTAATTTCATGAAAAAATATTACTAAGCTGAAAAGCTTGTGGTTCCTTTTGTACAAGAAGTATTGCCGACTACAAGTTTAAACATCTTAGAAAAAAAAAAAAGGTTTCCTTTCTAGCCTCACAGAACAATTTAAAAATACAAGCTCTAAAACTGCATTTTTGCTGTGACAAGTGTTGTTGAAAAATAATTGCTGAAAATTAATAATCTTGTAAACTAAAGTTGCAAATCAAGTGTTATACGCATCCAAAGATATATTTAAAAATTTAAGATTTAGAGAAATTATAAGTCACACTTTCTGATGGATTTATGTTACAAAAAACTAATTCACACCTTTCAATTCATTAAGTGCTTATTGTAAAGTTGTGGTAAATTGGACAAATCAATGTCATAGTTAGTAGCTTATGTGATAATCCACTTTTAGTTATTAACTGATTACTATTTTTAATTATTATATTCTAATTATCAGCCATGATAAACTATTCAGCAATATGTATGTAATAATATGTAAATAAAAATTAGTAAAATTCATAAACAGAATTAGGTGAATATATAGGCTACTAACAAATGAACAAAGCCATTCATTAGTATATCTAAACTTCCGTTATAAAATTGGAACATTTAATTGCAATTTTTGTGCAAAAAAAAACTTAATCTTTAGCCATTATTTTCTGTTTATAAGGTAGTTCCTGACCTTATTCCATAAAATTTAAAAGCTAGCTACATTTACATTACTACTATTCCAAACAAAACATGATTCCTATAATGATTTTTCAAACTGGCCTAGATAAGGCTTTGAGCTGTAATATATAACTAAAGAATAAACTCATATTTTGTGTATGATGTATGTACAAAAATTATTTGAGTATTGAAACACTGTTCAGGAAAAGAAAAAAAAATGGATACAGACAGGATTGAATCCTCTACCTCCAGCAAAGAATAGGCTATGCCATCCGAGTTAAAGCTCAAAATCATTTTTGCATATACACCATTATTACATACATATTATTATATATAAATATAGACACACACATACATACACACAGTGTAAATTTTGTGGGTAAATACCTTGTCTTTCTGGATAATCAATATCTTTCACTAAAAAGATCTTGAGATTTTATTATTGATTGAACTCTTGATAAAGAGACATCATAAAATAGTAAATATTAGAAATTATGATATCAAAAAGTGTAAAAATCAACTGCCTTTGTTTACTGCTATTTCATTTATTTTTATTTTTTCCTTCCATAATGGTATCAACTCTTTTTCTCCTCACCCCTAAAGTATTAGCAAAGCATCCAGTCCACTACCATCAATAATGGAAATGGTCAATATTTCATTCCCCAAGCAGGTAAACTTGTGCTTCGCGTATGAAGAGCTTTTAAACAACAGATACTTGAAACCATCTGTACTTGGTGAAACTCCATAATTACAAAATTGAGTTAAAAGCAAAGACAATTGTACGTTTCACAAATACTCCATTTATTAATGACCATCAGTCTGTACCTAATGCCTTTACTGGTGAAACCATGGTCTTTAATATATGAAGTATTTGTGAAACATTAATTTTCTTTGTTTTTTCTCTATTCTGTAAGCATATTTAAATTTTAGGCCTAATTGTCCATTTTTAAGCATCTGTGTGGAGGTAGTTGAAAACGTATAATAGTTCTAAAACAGTGAATTTTTAAAATTATGGTATCAAGAATTGTAAAAATCAACTGTTATTATGTTTAGTTTTTGTAAATTCCTTGTGTGTATATGTGTCTAAATCATATTTTCTTTCACATAACCTGTTAGATGTCAGCATTGAAAATGAATGAAGTTGTGACAGTGGCTGTTAAGGCTAAGTGCTGTAGATTGTATAGCAGGTAATCACATGCTTCATGTACAAAGTGTATTTAAGTTTCATGCCCAATTGTCAATTTTTAGGTGCCTGTTGTAGTTTGTTTTGAGATGTAATGGTATTACATTATTTATAATCCACAAAAAAGGTAAAGAATTAACTTAATGTGTTTTTTTATGTTACTGGAGTAATTGTCTTTAAAGTTAATATCATAAATGTTGTAGAGAATACATTTATATTTTCTCTTTATAAGGATTTAACTGTAAATGTCTGGCATTCTGCAAGTTGTTTATGATCACACCTACACATTGATTTAACTGATAAATTACTGCTACCACTCCATGGTGTTTCATTTTCATTGTGGTTTATCTGGGAAGTTACTACTAGCAGTCTGTAATGTTTCCTCTACAGGGATTTAACTGACAAATTACTGCTACCACTCCAGTTTATGGTCTTTCCTGCATATAATGATGTAAATAAAAAGTTACTAGTGGCTATTTGTAGCATATCGTTTACAAAGTTATTTTATTGAGAAGGTATTGCTAAAAATCTGTAGTGATCACTCTACACAGTGATTTAACTGAAAAGTTAATGTCAGTAAGTTACAGTGTGCCATCTGTTGTGATTTAACTCAGAAGTCATGTTGTAGCATGTTAAAAAAAATAGGATAGCCCTCTACATTATTTTTTATTCACTAAAATTTACATTTTGGTGAAGAAAAGAAATTAATAACTAAATACATTCTAGGTTAATAAGGATTTAATCCATTGTAACCCAATATCTCATGTTTTTAAGAGTATGCGAGAACATTAAATTCTAAGAAAATCTGTCGCTAAGATAATGTATGTTTTGGAGAATCTTTTTGCACTTTTTTATTATTTAGCTTAACTTATTAATTAGAATAGTTGAAAATCTTACAGCCATAAGACTAAAAAATCTTTTTTAAATGAATTACATTATACTATTGGAAAAATGTCATATTTTGAATTAGTACTTAGAAAAATTCCACATCCATTTGTTGCCCACTGACCTTACTAGGTCTTAAGCAGGTAAACTGTGTTCAATTAAAAATTGAGGAAACTTAAAACTTTTATTCCAGATCAATATTATTTTTCTTTTTAACATTTGATCTCAAATCAGTTATATTTATTAACAGAAAATTATTTTTTAATGCTGTCCCATTACAATGAGGGTCAATGGCTATTCTAGTCTTAGCATTTGAAAACACATAATCTTAAGAAACTCATTAAGACCATAAGTTTGTTGGAAGGACTAATATTAAGACTGGTGGCAAATGTTTGGTAAATTAACTTTTCTACACCTTCTTCAATCCAATTTTACCTTCTGACAAATATTTCGAAATACTAACAGTTAAGTCAATAAAGTTATAAGATTTAAAAAAGCATACCTGCAATGCTGCTCGTGTAGCTGTTTCAAACACTTCCCTAACTCCATCTTTAGTTTTGGCAGAACATTCCAAGTATCCATAAGCATTAATTTTCTCAGCCATCCCTCGACCTTCTTCTGATGTGACTGGTTTTTGTTTCATTTTAGCCAGTTCCTTTATTGTGTGTGGTTCATTCCTGAGGTCCTACAAGAAAGAAAAAAAAAAGGTGAAGGCCAATTCATACATCTGGAAACTGTAGAAAGCAATATTCTAAAGGTCACTGGCAAAAATATTATATATAAATGAAATCTCATATAATGAGAAAGCTCATTTATTCTACTATTGAACACAGAAACACACATCTCACGTATTCACTTGACTAATTAAAATACTGAAGTATTTATATTATGCATGGAAATAGAAAAGGTGAACAGACATGAAATTGTGTAACAATTGTTATGAACTTAAGTTTACTACAGACACATACATGCAAACTACAATAGTTTCAAATTTCTATTACAAAAATTTCAAGCTCCAAATCATACTTTCTATTTGCCTTCAGTTCAATTCATTTGAAAAGTAAGTGGATATCTTAGTAACACAAACTAGTGAAATGTAAACCAGATCTAAGCCTGCGTTCAAGTACACTTCAATTCTGCAGGTATACCATACTTATTGATAAATCTTTACTCTTAAAATAATTTTTCAAGAATATACTTTACAAGTGATATTTAATGTATAAAGTTTACACAAACCTTCACTACCAATTGATTTTCTATCATCACCAATCATTTTATTACAGTTACTCTTTCATAAGATGTATATAATGCATGTAAGTGCAGGTACAATAAATAATTTGAAAATTAGATTTTAACTCTAGGTTTAGATCAATTCAATAAAGTAATTAATAAAAGTTTACTTGTATTTTCCAAGACTTCTTAAGTTCACTTGAGAAGAAGAGACAAATTATATATATATATATATATATATATATACATACTGTA